GTGAATAAATAAATAAGGAAAACATTTTTATTTATATAAAATATAGTGTCAAGCTGCAAAGTTCTTCAGCCTCAAATGTGTAAACATCAAGGGCTCTTGGCGCGTTGTTATGTTAACGGAGTCTGTTGTAGTGCGTGTACTGACAGACTGCATGACATGCAGTTTGACACCTTGTAATGACTGAAAGTGTTTAGGTGTTATCTTATCGCTGCTTGTCAATGTGTTCGTGTGTGCGTATGTGAGTGTGTGTTACACATGCTTTTTATATTTTGGGGGCAACAATAACATTTCGCTGTCGAGAGCTTGCATTGGGAAGTAGTTGGCGTCAATTCTTGTTGTTATTGGATTTACTTTGCCGTTTGCTGTTTACAAAGTGGGCGAATGCACTCGATTCTTGCTGCAATATTCACTCATGGTTGGGCATATAGACAAAGTTGTCTGATGACTTTGCTAATTCAAATTGAACGACTCGATAATTATGCTGTAATATTGTCTCTAGCAAATAGTAATTTTTTGAGTTGTTGCTGATATAAATAAACGAAATGACTTTGCATGGCTTGCAACATGAAACATCAAAGTGAACTGTGGCTCCATTGCCAGCCCTGCGACAGGCAGGCGACACCTTTTGGCTTCATCAATCATTTTTATGTGCATTGGCGGCGCATAGAATCAGCCATATCGACGCTTCTGTTGTCAGCCTTTCAAATGGGTGTGCAGAGAGGGAGAGAGAGTGAGTGAGAGAGAGAGAGAGAGAGAGAGGGGGTATATAGATACTCTCAGCTAGCTGTAAGCGCTTATCGGGCATGACGCTTGTTTAGGTGTTTCCAACAGGTTACGACGACGCCGACTCTGGCAAACTGTTCAACTGGTTTGAGCTGAGCTGCTGCTGCTGTTTATATTTATTAATTATCGTATCGATAACTCTACCATTTGTGAGCTGAGCTTCGAGTTGGCTCAAAAGCAAAAATCAAATGAGAGAAGAGGAAAAAACACCAAAGCACAACAAAGTTCTGTCTTGCTGCTCTTTGTGGCCGTCAGCAAGCAAAATAAAAGAAATAGAAATAAAAAGCAATATATAAAAGCAAATACACACACTCAAACACACAGATACAAGACAAGTACATATGCATGCAGAGCATAAAGTTCAGCGGCAACTCGTAAAGTTTTTCTCTGCCGTATTTCAGTTCGATTCGAGCGATTTTCGAGCGCGGAGCGTTGCGTTGCCTCGTTCACGTTGAACTAAAAAAGAAATAACACTAAATAAATAATATTGTATAAAAAAAGAAGAAAAAACATAAAAATATATAAATCGTTTTTTGTTTGTGAAGTGTGTAACGGTGCTGAGTCAGCCGAGAGTGCAGCAAGTGAATAATAATAATAGTTCATGCAATGTGTTCTCTAGTGCCCGGATTCGCACCCAAATCTGAAATGAACGTTGTCGCCATGGCGTGGCATTTCGCTGCCCATCAAATTTAATTAATTTCGGGCATAGAATTCCCATTTGGCCAAGAATAGTGTGCATGCCAATTAATTAGCCAGCTGACTCGCAGCGAAGCCATTCAGCATGAGTGTGAGTCTTGGTGATATTGGTATCGGAGCGGGTAGTTTACCCGGCGATTTGCTGTCGTACGATGAGTCAAAGTTTGCCCAAAAGCTAACGCACCTGACTCCCACGGAACAGGAAGCCGTCAAGCGTTTTTGGAGGTAATATTGATAAGCGGCGAGCATATTGTGCGTTGCCTAGGTCCGCATTGAGGCCGGAAAGCTTAATTAATTGGGCGCTGTTTAGAGATTAAAGATCGCTCGTTCGACACATTCGATGTGGCGGCTGCGACGCCTTTCCATGTGGGTGTGAGTTAAAGGTGTGAGACCCAAGTTGTGGGTAACAAAGCGAACCGCTTAGATATACAAATCAAATGTGACAGAGTCCCAAGCTAATTTCTCAGAGCTGATAATGAAAAACCGGTTAGTTAGCTGGCTTAAAGCAAAATGCCAAAAACTTTGATAAATTGATTGCTTAAATAGATTTTTTGTAAACCAAAATCAAGCGCAACTTAAAATATGCGATTTTTAAAAGCATTCCAGAGTATGACTTGACAGCTTTATGAAGCTACGAAAATTGAATAAATAAATATAAACAAAAATTGCAGACTGTTTTGAATGAAATTCTTGAATTATTTACCATAAAATAAACAAGAAACAGTTGATATATTTTTCATTAAATAATAAATCTTTATGCTTCAAACTATTTTTTTCTTAAGATATCTAAAATATTATTATTAAAAAAGTGTATTATCATGTAAGGATTAATATGCAAAGAATATAATTATTTACTTTATTATTAAAAATAAAATTGATTAAAAATTAATTACAAAATTTTTAAACAAAAAAAGAAAAAGCTAATCGTAAAAAAAATAAAAATAATTTATATAGCAACCCAACATATTTAAGCAAAAAACTTATTTAGTAGTAAAAAAAAAATATAAAAAAAAAATAAAAATAAATGAGAAACAATTAAATTTTTTTTGCAAACAGCTTATTTATTTAATTTGACTTTATAATTTTTTTTATTGTTTATTTTTTTATTGATTTATTTTTTCATTGACAACATTAAATGCGAATTCGACATAATTGTGTGTCTTTGCTATATAATTTTCAAAGTTTCTCATAAAATATGTTTTGATATGTAATTGAACAAATGTACTGGAATACCACAAAAGCTGTCAATCAAGTATTTTTTGTTGGTCCGCGTGCAAAAAGTTGAGCAAAGCCTGTGAAAACGCGTGTAGAGCGCGTGTAAAACGCGCAGGAAACGCGTGCAAGCTCTGGTGCACAAATATTTGTTTGGCTATTGACAACTGTTCAAATAGAACTTATCTATACGATTTATAAATAAATCAATGCTTTGTTAGCCAAGGGGCTGAAGGCAGCTGTCGCATAGAATGCAGCAAAAATGCGCTTTGCAGTTGCGTAGATAGAAAGATACTAAGTTGAGGCGCAGATACAGATACAGATACAGATGCAAAGATACAAAGATACTGAGCACACTTGCTGCGCCTCAGGGTGCAGTGCAGGCAGCAGTTGCTCGACACAGGAAAATTATAATAAAATATATCAAGCTGTCAACATTTTGAGTTTTGCCTGCGGCCCCTTTTGTTCTCATTGTTGTCATTGTTGTTGTTG